CTGTTGAGCGAAATAAGCATTTTGTTATTAGAGATTATGAAGATAACAGAGCCACTCGTACGTACCTTATTAGCGGATAATTAATAAAGCAACAATGAACTCAATGTCAGCGGGCTTGTTCAATGTCCCCTTTAGATCTTAGTGAGTTTTGTGACGTACAGATGGCTCTACGTGTGCTCAACAGCAATACTTTCCAGTACTATCAATATTGACATTGTTATCATTCTTATTGATATTATAAGTTCCGAATTGTCATTAGAATATTGATAACATCAAAGGCAATAATATAATAGAAGTGAATCTTTAAAAAAAAATGAAGGAAAAGGGTAAACAGATGAGATAGGTAAGACTAATAGCTGACTCTTTGATGACTAAGCACTTGTAGAGCCGTCTATGTGTAAAGGCATTATATAAAACCCTTATTGCAGTGGGGATGGCATTGTAGTCTTGCCACCCGCGCTCATTGGGTTGAGAACCTTATCAAAACGCCAGTAAAAGAGACCTATGCAGTTTTAGAACATCTTGAGTTCCATTCTTCATTATTAAGCTAATGAGGGTATGAATAATCTAGGGAGATGATAATTAAGATTAAAGAGAATGATAACGATACAGGTAATAATTACAACAATAAAAAAGAACGCTGGCAGATACACGGATGAAATTGGGCGAAAGCCTACGGTATTCGCCCATAAGTTTTCACTTTATAGCACAGAGAGTTTGGATCAGTTCCTCCTACGACCTAACACATCGCCAGATTCAAAAAAAAAAAGAAAAAAAAAAAAAAAAAAAAAATCGACTTATCTATAAACTCTTAGCTAGGGGAAAAATAAATAATAATAATAATGATAAAATAATAATAAAAATAAAATAAAATAAAATAAAGAATAAAAATTAAACGGAAAAAAAACAACTTGACTGATCTGACAAACACCAAAAATTCTGACTACTTGTAAACATGAACGACGCCAGCAAGATTTTACAACTGAAAACATCTACGACTCACTTAAGACAGAAGAAAGTAAAAGATAAATTTGCAACAGCGGAAATTCAGCTTGACTACAGGTTGCACTGGCAGATCGATGAATAATGAGGTACAAGTAACTGAGAGAAAAACTGTAGAAAAGGTATGAATGAGAATGAATATCTTCACAATACGAGAGATGTAGTATTTGACCAGTTTGGATGATATCTTCGTCGTATTTCTGACGATGATAGAATCGAAACCGGTCAAATACATCTCTCGTATTGTGAAGATAGTCATTCTCATTCATACCTTTGCTACATTTGTCAACACGAATACGGTTCATAGAGAAAAATGTATTTTAGATGATGACTTGATTCGCTAAATCTTTTTAATTTCCGTTTCGTTGATCTTTAATACTTTGTATATATTTTTTTATTGTTTTATATAAAACCTTATTTTTTCTCATACTAAAATTCCACTTTATCTAAAAAAATAATAATAATAAATAAATAAAAGAATAATAATAAAATAAAAAATAAATAAATAAATAAAAATAAGCGCAGTACAATGAAAAATATAAGTAAATACCTGTACACTCTATCTCAGGTAAAAAAGAACTATGTGATTATTCTATCTCATCTGATTAGAAAATATATTCATATTATATCCTGAATATGTAATCTAATATCGTATTCTCAACTAACGGCTACGTATAAAATGCATAAAAAATAATGATATTCCTATCCAGAGTGGTTAGTTTTGTTAATAATAAATAGATAAATAAATAAACGAACTTATTTCTGTATATTTTTCTTTATAGCCAATGGTACGGAAAATCTACTGTTAATAGGCTGTGAAATTCCCTTGCAGCAAACATAGGATTACTCAGCATAAACTTTCCGTGTTTTATTAACAGTTTACCAACACAGCCCGTGCAACTAAGGTCAAAGCGCGTGTGAACTCTGCTGTGTAACTTTGGGCAAAAAAAAACAAAACAAAAATAAACTCTCAGGGTTTCTATTGCAGAGCACCTTGCAGTACAGTTTACCGGGATACAATTCTTGTTTTATTTAATCTCCTTCAATATATGAGGAGATGTTTACGCGCGTGCAATACCAGAAAGGTGCAGAAAGAGATGAAAGGATTTCGGCGACATGACTGATAATAGTGTCCGTGTGTGCTTAAGGGTTTAAACGTTGGGTACGGAAGTTGAGAGGAAGTTATTACCTACTGGTCACTTATTTTGTTCTCGGCGATAATTTCGTGATGAAAATGACGATAAATGATATGAATATTGATATCACATCGATAAGGTTTAAAATGGCAAAATTGTCGATGGAACCAATAAAAAAAGGCCAATTTAAACACAATTTAAAGATAAGAACAATTATAACTATTGATAATTCTGATATCGGCGGTGTGAAATGATAGACTTTTAAGACCAAAAAGAAATGATATGAATATACGAAGATAGCGAATAACATAAAATAATAATAATAACAATAATAATAGATAATAATAAACCTACCATATCTA